GGAAAAGAAAAATATAGGAATCTATTTCAAGAAAACAAAATGTCAGTCTCAATTTTATATTCTCGTTGTTTCTTGCAGACAATATCTAAATCTATTAAATACCAACCTGCTAACTTCACTTGCTATTTCATCTGTGCATGCGAGTTGGCCGCCAGATGGCGATTTGAGCCATGAGATGAACTTTTCAAACTTACTCATAGGAAACTTCTTATAAAGGCCTTTACACCTTAGAATCTCAAACATTTGTTTTCTGCTCGATGGTGCATTTTGTTTCTCTCGCAAGGCTGAAACTGTCATTGCGTTAATTTGCATCGACCCTTGATGTTCTAGATAATTGTCTAACAATTCGTTCTCATGTCTAGTAACGCTTTCTCCCTCTTGCGGTTCATTGGAATCAAAGTCATGTTCTTCTGGTCGTAGTTTTTTGCGCTTTGGAGCGACATTGTAGAATCGTTTCTGGTTTTTCCGACGTTTCTTATTTAAGCGTATTCCTCTGCCAAGACTGCACGTTATAACCTATAATATCATGGAAATAATCGGTGATTAATTAATTGCGCAAATAAAAGGGAGAAAACGTAAATTCATTCTTCATCTTGCCTTAAAATTGTCCAAATCAATATGTGTTAGCCCTGTTTGTAGAATAAAGTCGGAATAAACCTCCTCGGGTGTTGGACACTGAACATCTTTAGTTTGTTGAATAATAGAAAAATTTTCTTCCCAAAACCGTGAGACCTTCAGTCTGTCATCCATCCTTCAGGTATCAAGAGTGTCATTGTTATGCCTGTGTAACGCGACACCGCGGAAATTGGTATAGACTTAGCCGCAATTCTCAATACTTAGACTTCAAACTTGGTGAGAAAAAATATTTATGAATATTCAAGAAAATATGCCTTGCACAAAAGATTTGAAGCTTGCACACGGTAAAAACGAATCGTCTGAATTAATAACATTTTGTATACTTTAAGCGTCAAAATAGCCATTTCATAGCGGTCATATGTGTATGAGCTGTCAAAAGGTTGCAGAATGCGTATTCAGAAGAGAAATTGAACGTTTTTAAGATATTCAAAAGGTTTCTCTTTGATTGCGGTACAGAAATGCACAATTCTGGGTTGAAACTTCTTAAACACCAGTCTCTGTGGTGTCCTGTAACGCCAGCATATCAAATTTCAAAGGTCTTTCCGAACTAACAAACATCGCCCTTGTTTTTCAGCTTATTCAGTTAAAACAATATTGGCTCGAGTGGCAGCCTACGGACCCGGCAAACATTATCGAATCCCTCAGGTAATGATAATTTTTACGTATTCCATTCGGCATTGATGATGATCGATCCATCCTGGATCGCCCTGGCATACCTAGTGCCAATTGTAAGATTAATGAAGTTTAAAACAAATTTTTGGGATTAGGTGTTATTAACAGTAGCAAGGTTTCACAACTGTATGTTTCTAACGTGCGATTTTACCTTTTCCCAGTGCGGACACCAGCGGATTGAACGTTATTCCATGCATTCGGTCCCGATCAGGTAATCATTAATTTTTTTCTGTATTGCATTTAATATACATTGCGTTTGGTTTTGCGTTGCGTTGTGTTTTGCGTTGCGTTGTTGTTTCGATTTCCGTTTCTGTTTGATATGAAGCGAGGTTTCTTAAAATACTACAAATCTACAACGTGACTTTCATGCATAATTCTTTCTGTATCGCATTCTCGGGACTTTATAAATCGTGTTTGGTTTTGCGTTGCGTTGCGTTTGGATTTATAATTCTATAATTAACAGGGGAGCTATCGTTTGGTTTAGAAACGAGCGTGGTATACAACTGAAGTTTCAATTTAGTATGGGTAGATTTAAGCAAAAAGCGAGCCTATATACATCGATGAAGCGAGCTTTCTTAAGATACATCAAATCCGTTGATGGTTTTTAAAATCTTTTAAGTTTAGTGTAATATATAAGTTACTTTTGTGTTCGAATTTTGATTATATGTTCGGCTAATTATTTGGTCTTTATCTCGCTGCCAAGGCTGACGTGCGGTGCTACGGACAAGTCAGTTTGCACCCATAGGTCTTGCAGTAATGATAATACCATCTATCTATATATTGTTCAAGAATGAAATGGTCACGCAAGCATGGAGTATGATTTCGTGAGTTTACTTCGTGATTAGTGTAACTCCGTTTCAACATTCCTTGCTTAGTTTTGTGATATTTCCTTCACCCGAAAAGCCTCTAAAACTCTAAACCCTAACCCTAACCCTAACCCTAACCCTAACCCTAACCCTAACCCTAACCCTAACCCATACCCTAAAAAAATCCAAAATTTTAATTTGCTCGAACAAATTTGAAAAAATGTTTAAAATTAAGAAAATATTTTTTTGAGCCTAAAAAAACTGGTGATGTCCCTGGAAAACCTTTTAAACTCCTAAAAATTTAAAAAAGAAAAACCAACCCTATGGCAAACCCTTGACCCCATGGCAAACCCCAACCCTAAGGCTGACCGTTTCTCGCCTCTGAGACCCGTAATTTTCTCTCCTCCTCTCTTCTCTCCTTTTTCCTCCCCCTCCCCCCTCTTCCCTCCCCTCTCCCCCTCCCCCCCTCTCCCCTCCTCCCTCCCCTCTCTTCCCCCCTTTTCTTCTCTTTTTTTCCTCTTTTTTCTCCCCTGTTTTTTTCCCTCCTTTTTTCCCCCTTTTTTCCCTCTATTTTCTCCCCTTTTTTCTCCCCTTTTTTTCTCCCCTTTTTTTTCTGCCTTTTTCTTCCCCTTTTTTTCCCCTTTTTTTTCCCCTTCTTTTTCCCTTTTTTTTCTCTCCTTCTTTCCCCTTTTTCCTTCTCCTTTTCCTTCCCTTTCTTTCCCCTCCCTTTTTTTCCTTTCTCTCTCCTCTCCCTTCCTTTCCCTCCCTTCTCCCCTTCCCTTCCTTCCTCCCTCTCCTTTTCTCTCCCCCTCTCCCTCTCCCCCTCCCCCTCTTCCCTTCTCTTTCCTCTTCCCCTTTCCTTTCCTTTTCTCCCTTCCCTTTTCTTTTCTTTCCTTCTCCTTCCCTTAACCCCCTTCCCTTTTCCTTCTTTTCATTTTCTCCTCTCTTTTCTTCCTTCCCTTCTCTCCTTTCCCTCCCCCTCCCCTTCCCTCCTTCCTTTTCCTTCCCCTCTCCTTTTGTTTTTTCCCTTCCCTTTTTTCCCCTTCTTTTTTTCCCCCTTCCCCTTTCCCTCTTCTCTTCCCTTCCCCTTCCTCTTCCTTTCCTTTTCCCCTCTCCCTTTCCCTCTTCTTTTCCCTTCCCTTTTCTTTTCTTTCCTTTCCCTTCTCCTTTCCCCTTCTCTCTCTCCTCTTCTTCCCCCTTTCCCCTCCTTTTTCTTTCCCCTCTCCCTCTTCTTTTTCTTCCCCCTCTCCCTCCTCTTTCCTCTTTCCCCTCCCTTTTCTTCTCTTTCCTCTCCCCTTCTCCCTTTCCTCTCTTTCCCCTCTCCCTCTTTCCTTTCCCCTTCTCTCCTCTTTCTCTTTCCTTCCCCTCTCCCCCCTTTCTCCCCTTCTCCCCCCTCTTTTTTCTCTTTCCTCTTTTTTCCCCTCTTCCCCTTCTTCTTTCCTCTTTTTCTTCTTTCCCTCTCCCTCTTCTCTCCTTCCTTTTTTCCCCTTCCCTCCTCTTCCCTTCCCCTCTCCTTCCCTTTTCCTTCCTTCTCTTTTCCTCTCTCTTCTCCTTTCCTTTCCCTTCCTTTCCCTTTTCCCTCTCTCTTCTCCTTTCCTTTTCCTTCCTTTCTCTTTTCCCTCTCTCTTCTCCTTTCCTTTCCCTTCCTTTCTCTTTTCCCTCTCTCTTCTCCTTTCCTTTCCCTCTTTCTCCCTCCTCCCTTCTTTCCCCCTTCCTTTTCCTCCCCTCTCCTTCTCCCCTTCTCCTCCCCTCTTTTTTTCCTCCCCCTTTTTTTTTCTCCTCCCCCCTTTCTTTTTTCTCCTCCCCTTCTTTTTTTCTCCCCTTTTCTTTTCCCCTCTTTTCCTCCTCTCTCTCTCCCTCCCTCCCTCCCCTTTTTTTCTTCCCCTCTTTCCTCCCCCCTTCTTTCTTTTCTTTTTTCTCTTCCCTTCTTTTTTCTTTCTTCTCTTCCCCTCTCTTTCTTCTCTTTTTTCCCTCCTCCCTTTCTCTCTCCTTTTTTTTCCTCCCCTCTTTCCCCTCTTTTTCTCTCCTTTTCCCCCTTCTTCTCCCCCTTTTTTTCTTTTCCTTTCCTTTTCCTCCTCCTCCCCCCCTTTTTTTCCCCCCTTTTTTCTCCCTCTATTTTTCTCCCTTTTTTTCTCCCTTTTTCTTCCCCTTTTTTTCCCCTTTTTTTTCCCCTTTTTTCCTCCCTTTCTTTCTCCTCTCTTTCCTCCTCTCTTTTCCTTCCCTTCTTTCCCCCCCCCTTTTTTTTTCCTCTCTCCCCTCCTTTCCTTTATTTCTTTTCCTCTGCCCTCCTTTCCCTCTTCCCTTCCCCCCTCTTCCCTTCTCTCTCCTCTTCCCCTTTCCTTTTTTCCCTTCCCTCCTCTTCTCTTTTCCTCTCCTTCTCTTTTCCCCCTTCCCTCTTCCTTCCTCTCCCTCCCCCTCCCCTTCCCCCCTTCCCTCTTCTCTCCCTTCCCTCTTTCTCCCCTTTTCCCCTTCCTTCCTTTTCCCTCCCCTCTCTTTCCCTTATTTTCCCCTTCCCTTTTTTTCCCCTTTCCTTTTTTTTTCCTTCCCTTTTCCCTCTTCTTTCCTTTTCTCCCTCCCTCCCTCCCTCCTCTTTCTTCTCCCCTTTCCCTCTTTTTTCCCCTTCCTCTTCCTCTTCCTTTCCTTTTCCTCCTTCCTTCCTTCCTTCCCTCCTCTTCTCTTTTCCTTTCCCCTCTCCTTTCTTTTCTTCTCTTCTTCTCCCCTCTCCCTCTTCTTTCTCTTCTCCCCTTCCCTCCTCTTTCCTCTTCCCCTCCCTTTTCTTTTCCTTTCCCTCCCCCTCTCTCTCTCCCTTCCTCCCCCTCCCCCTCTTTCCCTTCCTTTTCTCTCCTCTTTCTCTTTTCCTCCCCTCCTTCCCCCTTTCTCCCCCTCTTTTTTCTTCTTCTTCTTCTTTTCTTTTCTCCCCCTTCTTTCCTTTCCCCCTTTTCTTTCTCTTCTCCTTTTCTTTCTCCTTTTTTTCTTTCCCCCTTTTTTTTCCTCTCTCCCCCCCCATTTTTTTTCCCTTTTTTTTCTCCTCCCTTTTTTCTCCCCCTTTTTCTCTCCTTCCCCTTTCTCCTTTTCTTCTCTTCCTCCCTTCCCCTTCTCTCCCCTTTTTTCCCTTTTTTCTTCTTCCCCTTCCTTCTTTCTTCTCTCCTTTCCTTTTCTCTCTTCTCTTTTCTTCCCCTTTTTTTCTTTTCCTCTCCCCTTTCCTTTCCTCTCTCTTTCTCCTCTTTTTCTCTCTCTCTCCCATTTTCCCCCCTTTTCCCCTTTTTTCTCTCTCTCCTCCCCCCTTCTTTCTTCTCCTCCTTTCTCCTTTTCCCTTCCCTCTCTTTTCTCTCCTCTCTTTTTCTTTCCCTTCTCTTCTCCCCCTCTCTCTTTTTTCTCCTCCTTTCTTCCCTCTTTCCCTTCTCTCCTCTCCCTCCCTCTTTCCCTCCCCTCCCTTTTTTTCTTTCCCTCTCCTCTCCTTTCTTCCCTTCTTTCTCCTAACAACTCCTCCCAACATCTCCCAACCCTTTCTCACATTTCTCCAAATTTTCTCTCAAAATTCTCCCAACATTTTTACACACATTTTCCCAACTTCCTTCCAACTCTCTTCCAACCTTTCCATAACTTCTTTCCCATCATTTTCCAAACATTTCCATAACTTTCTCCCAACTTTCTCCCAACTTTCTCCCTATCTCTTTCCCAACATTTTCCACATCTTTTTTCCAACTGTTTCTTACCTTCTTCCACATATTTCTCCAACTTTTTTCCCAACTCTTTCCCAACTCTTTAACAACTTTTTTTCCAACTTTTTAACAACTTTTTCCCAACTTTTTCCACATCCTTTCCCCATCTTTTTCCCATCATTCTCCACATCTTTCTCCATAATTTTTCCCAACTCTTTTACAACTTTTTAACAACTTTTTTCTTAACTCTTTCCCAACTTTTTCCCAGCCTTTTTTCCATGTTTTACCTAACTTTTTCTCAACTTTTTCCCCATCTTTTCCCCAACTTTTTCCTAACATTTTCCACATCTTTCTCTAAATTTTTTCCCAACTTTTTTCCAACTTTTTACAACCTTTTAAAAACTCTTTAACCACTTTTTAACAACTTTTTAACTACTTTTTGCACCTCTCCCCCAACACTTCTTTACACACTTTTTTACAAACTTTTTTACACACTTTTATACACACCTTTTTCCAACTTTTTACACCATTTTTACACTATTTTAACACCATTCTTAGACACTTTTCACACCATTTTTACACACTTTTTACACACTTTTTTACACTCTTTTTATACACTTTCTTACATCTTTTTTACAACTTTTTTACACATTTTTTACACCTTTTTTACACCATTTCTACACCATTTTTACACCATTTTTTAACACTTTTTTTACCCACCATTATTACACCATTTTTACACCATTTTTACACTCTTTTTTAACACCATTTTTACACCATTTTTTAACACTATTTTTACACACATTTACACCATTTTTTACACACTTTTTACACACATTTGCACCATTTTACACACTTCTTTACACCATTTTAACACCATTTTTACACCACTTTTACAGCATTTTTACAGCATCTTTACAACATTTTTAACACTTTTTTTACACACAATTTTTACACACTTTTTACACACTTTTTTACACTAATTTAACACACCTTTTTACACACTTTTTACACACTTTTTACACACTTTTTACACACTTTTTCACACCATTTTTAAATCTATTTTCACACACATTTTCACACAAATTTTTACACCAAATCCTTATCCTAGTGAATTTATCAAGCTCTAAGCATTTACATATTGTCTAAGTTATCTGGATTTTCTTGACTACAAAGAATTTTGTCTTGGGCTACCTGTGTCTATCTTGGGCTACCTGTGTCTGCTTCGAAACAGCTAGCCCAAGACAAATTAACTCTCCATCAAAAAAAAATCTTAAACTTCATATAATAACATTTTAAACTTTCTTTTATTCTCTGAGTTTTTTTTTGAAAAAAAAGTCTTTTGTCTTGGGCTTCCTGTGTCTATCTTGGGCTACCTGTGTCTGCTTCCAAACAGGTAGCCCAAGACAAATTAATTCTTCATCAAAAAAAATCTTAAACTTCCTATATTAACATTTTTTAACTTTCTTTGATTCTCTCAAATTTTTTTAAAAAAAAGTTTTTTGTCTTGGGCTAATGTGCCTGTCTTGGGCTACCTGTGTCGGTCTTGGGCTACCTGTGTCTTACTTTACACATTAGCCTAAGACATAGGAGATTTGTTAAAAAGTTGTTAAAAAGTTGTTAAAAAGTGGTTAAAATGTTGTTGAAAAGTTTGTTGTCCAAAGTGAATCTCAAAAAAAAAGTGATTCCGATTCCGAATCAGAACTGAACAGTGAGTGAACTATACGAAAATCAGAACTGAACTGTGTGTGAACAGTGAGTGAACTGTACGAAAATCAGAACTGAACTGTGTGTGAACTGTACGAAAATCAGAACTGAAATGTTAGTGAACTATACAAAAATCAGAACTGAACGGTGTTGAACTGTACGAAAATCAGAACTGAACTGTGTGAGCTGTACGAAAATCAGAACTGAACTGTGAGTGAACTATACAAAAATCGGAACTGAACTGTGAGTGAACTATACAAAAATCAGAACTGAACTAATTATGACGTCACTTCCGGGGAGCATCGCTTATTTCTCTGCTTCCTTACACTTTGACTTTCAACTTCCGATTTTTCGTGGGCGTGGTCAGACACCCCGCTTAATCTACTTTTTTTCTCCAGATTCAAATTTTGAATAAATTTTTCGCGAGATTCATTTTCGGTTGCACTTTTTTCTCCAGATTCATTTTAAGATTTGAATATTTTCTTCAGATTCATTTTCAAATGACGTTTTTTTCTCCAATTCAGATTCTGAATTACTTTTTCCCAAGATTCATTTTTGGAGGGATTCGCTTTTTTCTCGAGATTCATTTTTGTATTCACATTCACATTCACTCCACATTCAGATTCGGAAAAAAAATTTTCCGAGATTCATTCTTGGAGAAAAAAACAGAATAGAAGATGAATCTCAAGAAAAAATTCGAATCTTAAAATGAATCTGGAGAAAAAAGTGAAACCGAAAATGAATCTTGAGAAAAATTTAATCGAAATTTGAAGCTGGAGAAAAAAAATTTATTCCAAAAATGAATCTCGATATAAAAGTGAATCCCAATTTGAATCTGGAGAAAAAAAGTGAATACAAAAATGAATCTCGAGAAAAAAGCGAATCCTTCCAAAAATGAACCTCGAGAATAAATTCGAATTTGAAAATGAATCTCGAGAAAAAAGCGAATCCTTCCAAAAATGAATCTTGAGAAGAAATTCGAATTTGAAAATGAATCTCAAGAAAAAAGTGAAAACGAAAATGAATCTCGAGAAAAATTTAATCGAAATTTGAAGCTGGAGAAAAAAATTTAATCCAAAAATGAATCTCGATATAAAAGTGAATCCCAATTTGAATCTCGACAAAAAAGTGAATCCAAAAATGAATCTTGAGAAAAAAAGTGAATCCTTCCGAGAATGAATCTCGAGAAAAAGTGATTCCGAATCTGAATGTGGAGAAAATAAGTGAATCCAAAATGAATCTCGAGAAAAATTTCCAATCCTAATTTGAATCTCGAGAAAAAAGAATCCAAAAATGAATCTCGAGAAAAAAGTGAATCCTTCTGAGAATGAATCTCGAGAAAAAAGTGAATCCCAATTTGAATCTGGAGAAAAAAAGTGAATCCAGAAATGAATCTCGACCAACCAACACACCCTACGAAATACCTCCCATTGGATCCAATTCGCCGAATTTGTTTCAAAGACAAGGATCGAGGCAATAACATTATCAGAGACTTGGTTAAACACAACCATACCAAATGCCGAGATCAACTTGGAGGGCTATAAAATTTACCGCCAAGACCGCCTTCACAAAAGAGGAGGAGGGGTAGCTGCGTACATTCGGAGTGATATTAAGGTCACCGTACTGAAGGAAATATCATCAGTTTCCACCGATTACTTCCAGCAGCTTTGGCTCAAACTTCAGACTAAAAAGTTAAGATCTATCCTGCTCTGTGTATCATATAGACCACCAGACTGCCCGCCGTCCTGCCTAGAAAACAACCTAAAAGCAAGTTATATGCAAGCCGCCATGCAGGACAAACCCATATTTATTTTGGGAGACCTCAATTGCAACACCATGAAGGTCACCGCTGAGACCACAGCATTGGAAAACTTCATGTACGAGATGAACTTAAAGCAATTGATCACTTCACCAACCAGGATCACAAACACTTGTGAATCACTAATCGACGTAATCATAACTTCATCACCCAACCTTGTCCATCAAAGTGGTGTTATGGACACACTCATAAGCGACCACCTACCAGTATACACCGCGTTAAACATGAAACTTCCTAAGCCATCAGTACAGAGCATCCTGACGCGAAGCTATAAAAGCTATGATAGTTCAAAGTTCATTACCCATCTTGGTACAAGATCACAAGAACTCATTTCTATCTTTTTCGATTCCAATGTCAATTCAAAACTCAGAAAACTTAATGATGTCCTCTCTACTACTTTGGCTGTCCATGCTCCAATTAAAGAGGTCAAGATTCGACGTCGCTCCTGTCCATTTGTTACTGCTGACATCAAAAAACAAATGATCTACAGAGACCAGCTACATCGTCGATACAAACAGACACGAGAAATGGAGGACTGGAAGAACTTTAAAACAGTCCAAAAATCAATCAAATCCACCTTAAAAGTCGCAGAGAAAGACTACGTCCGCACTGAAGTTAATACACATAAAGACAAACCTGGGTCACTTTGGAAAGTAATTCATAGCCGCATTCCGTCTAGAGACAAAACAACCCCAATATACAGCAAAAACCAGGAAGAGGTTGCCAACGATTTTAACAGTTTTTTCCAGTCAGTAGGGATAACAGCCGCCGAAACAGCTACGCAACTGGCCTTAGATAATAACATCAATATATCTTCCATGTCTGCCTGTGAAATCAAGAACCTACAATGTCCGATCGAAGAGTCATTCCACTTCATACCTGTTACCTGTGCGGAAATTGAACGCATACTAACATCTATGCCATCAAATAAATCACCAGGTCCCGACAAAATCAGTATGAGAACTATTAAAGACTGCCTCCAAGTAATCTTAGGCCCCCTGACGGATATCATCAACAGTTCATTTACAACTAATACGTTTCCAGAAGCCTGGAAAATAGCAGAAATCATACCAATATTAAAAGAAGGGGATCACGAAATAGCCTCCAACAACCGTCCCCTCTCAATGCTCAATGTAATCTCGAAGGTATGTGAGAAAGCGGCCTTAAATCAATTCACGAGTTTTTTAAATCGGACCGGCCACCTTACGGCACACCAGAGTGGAAACAGAAAGTACCATTCAACGGAAACCCTCAATATATTAGTAAACGATTTTTTCCTGAACGCAATGGATAACAAAGAGCTATCTGCCCTTATTCTGTTAGATCTGTCCAAAGCCTTCGATAGCATCGACCACACAATATTGCTTCAAAAACTAAGCAATATTGGAGTATCTCGTAAGGCTCTAAATTGGTTTAGAAGCTACCTTTCAGACAGAAAGCAATACGTACGCATTGGCTCTTCAGTATCAGAAACTCTTTCAATCACTCATGGCGTCCCACAAGGGGCAATATTGTCACCTCTGTTATTTTGCATCTATAT